GGTGGAACCCCGTCTGGCGGCGGCATTCTCCCGTCTCATTACTTCTATACTTGATCCATTGTTGGAGTTACTTTCTTAATACATCTTACTGAGTGTATTTGTCTTTTCTTTGACCCTCTACTTTACTACTGGCATCAGAAAATTAACAGAGAAGAACACATTTGGCATTTTTAAAGCTGAAGCAACTGAAAAAGAAATTTAAGCCTTGTGTTACAATACAAAAGGATGCTATGGGTAAAATCTTGAATGATCCAGGAAGCCTCAAAAGAAGGTGGAGAGAAAACACAGAGTCACTGTGCCAAAAGATTTTATTGATATAGATAATGTCAGGAGGAAACATAGGACCAGTGATGCTGAAGTTCAAGGCAAACTGAAGGCATGGTTATGAAATAAGGCCCCTGGAATTGATGAAATAAAAATTGACATATTTTTACCAACAAATTCAGCTCTGGACTTGCCTTATCAGATTTTAGCAGGATTTGAAGATAGCTAACTCACCAATTACTTGGAAAAGATCCATATTTGTCCCCATTCACAAGAAAGGTGATCCAACTGAATGTAGACATTATTGCATCATCTCACTGATATCATATGCAAGCAAAATCGTGCTGAAGATCATTCAGGGATGGTATAACAGTATATCAACAGAGAATCCAACTTAAGTTGGATTTAGAAAAGGCTGTGGCACCAGGAATATCATTGACGATGTAAGATGGATCTTGGCTGAAAGGAGGAAATACCAGAAAGATATGTTTTTATGCTTTCTTGCATATGCAATGCATATTATTGTGTGGATCATAACAAGTTGTGGATAATATTGAGAAGAATGAGAATCCCAGAATAATTTATAGTGCTTATGTGAAACTTATCTCTAGACAAGGATGCCTTTGTCCAAACAGGGTAGGGGAAGACTGCATAGTTTAAGATCAAGAAAGGTGTATGAAGGAGAATATGATATCAAAATCCACGGAAGACTCACCAGCAATCAGAGGTATGCAGATAACAGACGAATTTTACTTGCTGAACATAAGGAGTATCTGAAATACTGTAGAAGGTTAATATGGATTTCATCTCAGCATAAGAAAACAAGAATCCTCATCTCTTGCCCAGTAGGCATCTTCATGATACATGGAGAGAAGATTGAAATGGTTAACCATTTTGACTTACTAGAATCCACAATAAATACCAATGACAGCATAGACAAGAAATAAAAATAATAATGTAGTGCTGGGGAAGACTGAGTTCAGGAACCTCTCCAAGAAGGAGTGGTGACATCACTTTGAGGACTAAATTGCACCTCATCTAAGCCATGGGGTTTTCAGTTATTTGTTATATATCAGAAAGCTGGACATTCCCTAAGGATGACAGGAGGAGAACCAGTTTCTTTGAGTTATGGTCTGGCTGTAGAGTGCTAAATGTCATATGAACTGTTAAAAAATTCAAACAGATATGTCTTAGAGAAAGTGCAACCAGAGTACTCCTCGGAGGCAAGAATTGTTATACTACATCTTACATAATTTGGGCATATGGGTAGAAGAAACCAGTCTTTGCAGTAGGGCATTATACTTGGAAAGGCGGAGGTGTCAGTGAAAATAAGAGGAAGCTCGTCGATGATATGGATTGATTCAGTCACTAGAACAAGGGCTCGTGTATAGGAGACATGGTGAGGGGGGCTCAGGATCGGCAGTATTCTGGTCTGCTGTTCATAGGGGCTCTATGCATTGTGGTCAACTTGATGGTATCTACCAGTAACAACAGCTCTGCTAAGTGTGATTTCTTTTCCTAGGAAATCGTCGCTCCTGATAACTTGCTCAAACTGTATAGAGTGAAGTCTGCCATCCTTTCTTCTATAGACCATTTAGTCTACACTTCTTCCAAGATAGAATTTTGGTTTTAATAAGAGTTCCTGATAGAGAACCTAACAGGTACAAACTTAATAGGGTCTTGTGGCTAGGAGAACTGTATAACAGAGGACCAGAATAACAGAGAGAGTGCTTTGCACCCTTGGGGAACTGTGAAGAAGCTGTGAGAGAGGGTGAAGAGAGTCTGGCACTGCTGTGAAGAGACTGGCAAGGTGAATATTGGATATGGAGCTGTAGTTAAAGGTTTTACTTGTTGGATGATTGAATGAAAAGCTGAGTTGTAATTCTAAGATAAAATTTGACTAATTGAGGAAACCAAAGGTATATTTATGTTGTTGAACTGAGGAAGACTTTCACTTGTTGACTTAGAAGCTGTCTGAACTAATTGAACAATAGTTAATGTGGCTTGGGACTGTTGGACTAAACCTGGACTTGTATTGTTTGATATTCTTAGCTTCCCTAACTCCCCAACCTATTGCCCTAATAAACCTCATAACTATTAGTAAAGTCTGTGAGTCAAGTTGCAACAAATACTGGACCAATGAGTGGTAGGAGAAGGTGCATGTGGGGTGGGATGTCTGACCATGTAGTTACATGGTTGCTATGGTAGATATTATTGATGGGGAAAGTTCACCTTTATGAATTGGATTGAAATCAGTTAGACTCTGCTACCCCCAGAGGGAAACAGCTCTTTATACAGAGGTAAAGTTCATATAGCATGAAATTGACCATTTAAAATTACTAAGTCATGTTGTTCAGTCCTCACCTTCATCTAATTCTAAAATATTTCTGTTATGCCAAAGCAAATCTCTTACTGTTAAGTAGTGTCTTTCCATTGCTTGCTCACCAGTCCATAGTCTTTTTATATGGATTGAATATATTTTTAGATATAAATAGTATAATATGTGACATTTTGGGTTATTTTTGACTTCTTTAATATCGTAATTCTTCTGATATGGATCTACATTGTATTATGTATCAGCACTTCTTCATTTTTATGACCTAATTCAATGAGCATACCACATTTTATGAGTATTATATAGATAGATATATCACATTTGGTTGTTTAAAATGTATGCATGGATATTTGTACTGGTTCCACCTTTTAGCTAATATGAATTGTGCTATGAATATATGTGTACCTATTTTCACTTATTTTAGATCTATACCTGGGGTGCAGTTGTGGATTTATACAGCAATTGCCTATTTGTTTAATGCTTTCAAATATGCTGAACTTTTTTTACACGGGGGTTGAATCATATTTGGCCCTGCTAGGAAGATTTGAGAATTCAAATTTCTCTACATTATCATGTATACATGCCTCTTACTCTATCCCCTCCATTTCCCCCCTCTTTTAAAAATAGTAAGCATCTCTTAATAATTGCCATCAGTGTGAGAGAGTACCTTATTGTGGTTTTGATTTGTAGTTTCTAATGACTGTTGATGTTGACTGTTTTTTAATTATCTATTGTCTATTTAGATATCTTCTCTAGGGAAATATCTTATAAAGGCCTTTGCCCATCTCTATATTGGATTATGTTTTTGTTGTTGAGAGGGTTGTTTGTTATTTAAAATACACTTTTATTGTGTTGGTCAGAGAAGAATGTATATGCCTAGTAAATACTAAACTAAAATTTTTTAGATATACTGATTCAAGAAATAGTAACACTTTCTTTCTCCCTTCCCTTCGGAAGCTTGTAGGAGGACAGTTTGATTTAGAAATGAATTTCATTATCCAAGAAGGCGAGAGTATCATCTGTATGGTGGACCTACTGGAAAAATGTGACATTACTTGCCAAGCCGAAGTCTGGAGCATGTTTACAGCCATTTTGAAGAAAAGCATACGAAATCTTCAAGTCTGCACTGAAGTAGGCCTTGTTGAAAAAGTACTTGGGAAAATTGAAAAAGTTGACAGTATGATAGCAGGTATGTTTTTCTGTAATACAATGCATGTGAAGAAATAAAACTTGAGTTTTAAATTTTTCATTTCTCAACATTTACTTAACAAATAGTTAAGTGACCTAATAGTTAATCTACAGTGACCTAATTGGTAAGGAATTGGCTCCCAAGCCAAAGGCAGGTGGTTTGAATCCTCCAGCCATTCTGTAGGAGAAAGATGAGCTGTCTTTTGTCATGGCCTCTGGAAACTTATTGGAAGGTCAGCTGTGAGTCAGTTCTAGCTTCAAGGCAATGACTGTTTGGCACTTTAGTTTCCAAACTCTTAAGTAAATATAGACTATCTAGTTCTTCAAGAAATAGAAGTACCTTAATTATTTTGTTTTCTTTTGTTTTCAGATCTTTTAGTTGACATGTTGGGAGTGCTGGCTAGTTACAATTTGACAGTTCGTGAACTAAAGCTGTTCTTCAGTAAACTTCAAGGAGATAAAGGACAATGGGTAAAAACACCTAAGTAACTCTTTGGTATTTAAAAGTATTGCCTTCCATGAATGTGTTAGTAGCCTTGTAACTGATATTTATGCATTTGGGATAAAAGCTATATTATAACTCTTTAGTCATGACTAGAGGTGTGTGCTGACTTAAGAGAACTAGGGGTTTCAGGCATGTTAAAAAATGTGGTCCTGCTTCAATTTTCTATTCTTTAATTAGCATTTTATTTAGAGGGTAGGACTGAGATAGAAAACTGCCGTAGCAGTGCCTAGTTCTCTTTTTTGTGGATCTGAGTTGTTTAGCTCTGGCATTTAAACGGAAATGACCTTTTTAATGACAAAACTTAGCAGTTAATTGATCCAAGTTCCTTCCAAGCAATTTAGCGATCCTTGGCAAGAAAAGTGATGACGATGGTGAACTTATCTTGAACCTCAGGCAGTTTTTCAAATTTTCCACCAGTTAGTTAACTCTCCCTTGGAGGAGTTATAGCAAGTAATGTTTTCTCAATTTTTATTACATTTCTAGTCTTTTAATATCTAAAGAGATTGATATCAATTGTAACTGTTCACTCAGCAAATTCTTTATCTAGTTCTTATTATATATGTCTAAATTTTTGCCCTGCACAGATACACCTAAAATGCTGTTAAAAATTAAGACTGTAGGTTTTTTGTCCCTTTAAGATTCTGTTACTGGTTTTAAGAAATTTGATTGTTTCTCTGTGTAGTTTACATTGTGTGTATTTTATTTATTTTTATTTAGAGTTTTTGCATCTTTAGGCTTAGAAGGTATTTATAAATAAAATTTGGGGGGAAAATTGGCCATTATTTCTTCTACTAAGATTTTTCTTGTCTGTCTTCTTTTTGCTTCTTTTCTTTCTGTACTTAATAACATAAAGTTTGTTGATATTATCCCTTAAGTTCATTATTGTCTTTTATTTTTCCCCACTCCCACCCACCAGTCTTCTATCTTTGTGTTTCATTTTGGATTACTTTTATTGTTATATTCTTGAATTAATGGATATTTTCTTCTCCAGCTTATTAATCAAGCTCTCTGAAAATTATAGTTAAGATAGTTTGTGTACAAGCACATGCATATACACACAAACACTATTTTTTGTTTGAAGTAAAAATGTATGTAATATATTATGTTCCCATACAACAATGAATACATAATTTCAGAGACATTAGTTAAATTTTCCACAATGTTACTGTTGTTGAGTGCTCTTGAGTCAAATATGATTCATGGTAACTTTATGAATAAAGATCTATGCCGTCCTTATCATCTCTAAGCTACTTGAGCCCATCTCATTGAGGCTCTTTTTCTCTTTCACTGTCCTTCCACCTTTCAGAGTATGATGGTTCTTTCTAAGGAATAGCCCCTCCTAACAACATACCCAAAGTATGTTAGACAAGGCTTCTCAGTCCTTACCTCTACAGAGTACTCTGGTTGCACTTTCTCCAAGGCATAAAGGCATCGATTCTTTAGCTGTCATCCTGAAATCATTGTCTAACTTTCAGATGTACGAGTAGTGACTGAAAAGACTACAGCACGAATTGATAGCCTATAGTCCTTACACTGACATTGTGGCTTCTTAGTATTTGAAGAGGTCCTGTTACAAATGACTTTCACATTGAATCAGTGTTATTTTTTCATAATATTCTGATAGTCTAGTTTAATTGCCCTCTTACTTTCTGCTTTAGATTAATTGTTGACCTTTAAGTCTTGTAAAGTTTGTTTTAATTAAAAAAAATTAATAAATAGTAAAATAAAATCTTTTTTAAATGTACTTATAGAGATTACCCTTTTTTTGCATGCTGGTTTTTTCCTACTAAAAGGTCATCCCAGGATAGTTTTGGTTCAAGGCATAAAATGTAACTCAAACCAGTAGTCTCAAGGTGTCCTTTGTTTTCAGTTGGCTCAGCAAGTCAGGACTTTTTAAGAATTTGAGTTTTGTTTTGTATTTTTCTTCCTTTCTACCAGGATTCATCTGTGGTGGCTCTTTTTGGAAGATTCAGCACTGGTCGTTGGGTACCATCTAGCTCTTCTGGGTATTAGAGTGGATGTGGTTCTGCTTATTTAAGCTAATAATTCTGTAGAATACTTTCTTCTCTGAGAGTTTGGTTTCCTTCTTTTCTCTTTTATGCCTAATGAGTAGTGACCAGTAGTTGTATCTTTAGATTGTGTGTATGTGTAGTTTTGTTGTTATTGTTCTTTGTGTGTGTGTGTGTGTTCATCAGTCAACTTATTGAACTCTTAGAGTGTACTCAGATCTGTTCTACAAGTACAAATGCTAGAAATTATTTAGCACAATTTTTGCCCTCAAGTTTAGTTGAGGGAGTTGTTGTTATTCTCGTTAGCAGTGCAACACTATGGACTACACTGCCTAGATAGTATGTGCGTGTGTGTGTGTATAAATATATATATATATATATATATATATATATATTTATAATATTTTTTCTTCTGGCTTTGTAAATTTTGTTTGGTTCTTTTGAATATTTTTTCCTCTCTAATTATGTTTATTTAAGCAATTTAATTCCTTGAAATTATTTGACGTATTTATAATACTTGTTTAGATAGTATTGTACTACTTCTGTGATTTCCGTTATATTTTCATTACTACGTTTTCCTCTTGTTGGTTACATTGCATAGTATATTCATAATACTTGTTTAGATAGTATTGTACTACTTCTGTGATTTCCGTTATATTTTCATTACTACGTTTTCCTCTTGTTGGTTACATTGCATAGTTTATTAACCTTACTAGTTAGGCCTGCCTCTTCTAAGATTTCTACTTTGTGAAATGAATAACTCTAGAATAATGAATATACTGTTAACTGTAAGTTGACAGTGTAGTCTGTCCTAGTAGAAAAAAGTACAACCGTGATGCTCCATAGATAGGAGACTGGAGAGTCTTCATTACATATATTTTAGAAGTACTATCTGGAGGAACCATTCACGGGAGAAGGATACTATGCTTGGTAGAGTGCCAGTGAAAAAGAGGAAGACCCGCACAGACATGAATTGAGGCAGTGGCTGCAGACATAGCACTGGTTGGGAGGATGGCACATGATGTGGCAGTGTTTCATTCTGTTGTATGTAGGGATGGTATTATTAAGTGGCAGCTAACAATACTAAGTCTCAAAGAGGTATTATACTGGCCTGATTTTGATTTGTTTTGTATTCAAAGAACTAATTTTTTTAAAAAAATTAGTATTTTTTTATTACATTAAGACATATAGATGTATATAGGTAATAACATGTATTGAGCTGCAGACCCAAATAAACACAGTATCATCAATAATTGGAAACCGTAAAATAAAATAATATTAAGAAAACACTTTATAACTATTAACATCAAGGATTATAAAATTATATCAAGGAAATTATAGTTGGAGAGGAAAGGTATTTTACATCTTGTGTGATGTTTATTAGAAGGAATGGACACAATTGGAGATAATCACAAGAAGAAGCTAGTACTATGTAAATGCTAAACCAAAACTAAATGCACTGTTCTTGATTCCAACTCATTGTGGCTTTCCATTGCATTTCTGAAGGTGTAAATAGGAGGATATTGCTTTATCTTTCTTCTGTAGAAGAAACCTAGTGGGTTGCAGCTGCCAGACATTTTTATTAGAAAGCTAATATTTAATCTTCTATGTTGGTAAGACTTGATATCCAGTGATTTAGTAGTTCTGCTGACAGTTACATACTTAAAAAAAATTCTTAAGTAGTTCCAGAAGGAAATAGTAATACATGTTCACTGAATCATTATTTTTGATAGTAGTGAATTGTCTATATAAGCACTTTTCTTTAGATGAGGGGATGTGAAGAAGTAGAATTTATTCTTATGTAGTAATTAGAATCAATGAGTAATATGAGAGTTGTTATAAGCTGTTAAGTTTGAACTGACTCATAATTGACCATTCAGTATATTTTCAGAGGCTGGAAATTATACAAGAGGAGATTGCTCATCTTTTTCCTATGGAGCAACTAGTGAATTTGAACCTTGTGCCTCTGTATTGGTAGCACATTATTATTCACTAGATCACCAAAACTCCAAATATGAATAGATGTAAATAATTTATGAAGAAAGTAAGAAACAGAATGCAATATGTAAACCAGTGTCAATTTTTATATCTTTCACCTTCACTTTGCATCCCTAGTAACCTTTTCAGAAAAATTTTAGCTGGATGTAAACATTTCCTTAACTTTTATAACAGTGATATTATACTGTATTTGCATTTTTGTCCTTGACTGACTTCACTTAGCATAATATCCTGTAGACACATCCATATTCTGCAGTCTTTGTAAATTCTTTGTTGTTTTTCAGTTTTGGACAATATTCCATTTTGTGAATGTACTATAGTTTCTTTATCTATTCATCCTTGATGAAACTCTGATTGTTTCCATCTTTTTACCATTGTATGTAATGTATCAATGAACATGAGTCTGCATATATCTGATTGTGATGAATCTTTTATTACTTTGGGATATATACCTAGTACTCATATTATTGAATCAAATAGTATTTCTATCCCTAGCTTTTTTGGTTGTTTGTTGTTGTTTTTTAATTATACCCATTTATTTACAGAATTTGAATACACTGTTTAACAGCCATTCTGGAAGGAAGTTTGGTGCTTTCTCAAATAGCTGAACATAGAACTCTCCCTAGGTTTTAAGGAAGCACCAAGCGTTTCCCATAGTGATTACAACACTTTACAGTCCTACCAGTAGTTCATATTAGGAAAATATGTTGTCCGGGATCTCTCCAGAGCAGTAAAGAACAGTGATGTTGGTTAAAAGACTAAGGCACACCTGATCTAGCCCATGATCTTCTCAGTTACTTGTATGTATCTGAAAGTTGGACGGTGACTAAGGATGAAAGAATTGATGCCTTTGAGTTGTAGACATAGAGAAAAGTGCTGACTATCCCATGAACTGCCAAGAAAACAGATATGTCTTGGATTGAATCCAAGGTTCCTTAAAGGCAAGGATTCTGAAACTT